CCTAGGTCTGTATTGGATAACTAGGTCAGTATTAAATACGCTAGGTCAGTGGTCGGCAAATCCCGGCTCGCAACCCGCATGCGGCTCTTTAACGACCTGAGTGCGGCTCGGCCAGTCGGCCACAAATCGGTTTTGACTCCGAAAAACATGGTCCTCGACAAGTTCTTGAAAATAGATTTGGCACTACAAATTTTTAAAAAAATCGTCCTGCTGCTGATTTTGTGCCCTTTTCACTAATGAATTGGCCGATCACTGGCCTAGGTAAGTATTGACAACTCTGGCCACATTTACCCTATCAACAAAAACATTTTATTACTCTAACAATTTGAACCTTAACTCATAATCATGATTATACAAATCAATTAATCACATGGTTTGAACGAGGTCGGCAACCTCGTATAGCTTAACATTGCCCTGGGTTTTCACGTGATCTGCTGACGGGGAAACAGTTGATTCAAAATTACTCACAACCATTGCAGTCTTACATTCAACCAGCCCTTCACAACCAACCCACATAGAAAAAACCAACAACGTGAAAGTGTGGGTCATTGGGTGAGTACTATTGGGTGAGTATTATTGGGTGAGTACTATTGGTTGAGTATTATTGGGTGAGTACTATTGGATGAGTACTATTGGGTGAGTACTGTTGGGTGAGTACTATTGGGAGAGTACCTGGTACTATTGATTTTGTCAAGGCTGATTAAGTCTACTTTTTCTGTACGGATGTCGACATAATTGACCTCGTTGACCTTGTTCACTTTTTGGCACGCATTCGGCTACACGTATCCATTGTTTTGTGGTTAAAATCGATAGTTCAATATTCCCTCTAAGGTTTGCTGGTTCGTGTGCAAAATCATACAGTTTTGTGCAAAGTTTTATAGCATCAATTTTTTGTTTGCAAAATTTTATAGCCCACAAAACACACACACACACGGAAATTACGTAAATAAATTTAAGTGCAAAAACTTTTATATTAATAAATAAAAGAACTAAAATTAAATAATTATAATCAGAAATATCACAATAGTTCAATCAAAGCCATATTTATTTCTACTATTTATGCCGTCGTTGGGATCAAGCAACTAAATTCCCATACACCCATGGCACTTCCAATGGCTGCTAGTCATTTGATTGACTCATATCTGGAGGTACTCTGGCGTTTATCTATCAACGATATCCATCTTTTATACACATCGTCAAAGTTGATCTGATGTCCATCATTCTGATACGATTTAATCCCCAAAACCATGTCTAAATGTAACTCTTCAAGCCTATTTCTAGATTTTATTTTTATATATTTCCTAAAGCTGAATCCACGTTCACAATAGGTGCTTGATTACAAAATGTATCACAAATATTTGAAATATCCAACAGAATGGCAATGTCGCCGCATTGCTCCTCATTTATTACAAATCGAACCATCTCGTCGAAAGTCTGGATCAATCCACATTTCATTTTTTCTGCAAGCACAAACCTTAAGTTACGATGCTGATCCTTAACTATCGGCAGAATGTCATCATAGTTTTCCAGGAATGCCGCATATCTAGAAACCAGTACTATGCAAGTTCTTCTTGGCCAAAATTAAAATCTGAAGTGACGATTAACGTTGATATCTCAAAGATTTGCCATTGCATCAACTCACTTTCAATGGTCTAAAGGCTATGAAATCCCATTCCAGCACCTGAAATAGTTCGGTAAACTGAGTTTTCCGCACTGTCAACCTACTGAACAATGTGTACTCTGTACTAAGGTATGTTTCAATGTCTGCCAGTTAACGTATATGTTTGCAAGCACCAAACCTGCTTCAAAGTTGGTCTCGGCACCAAACTTGGCATCGCTATGCCAATCACTAGCTTAGCAGTGAGTCTCAAAGTCTGTATTATTTAAAATGTGATTCAATTCAAATTCAATCACAACTTGGCAACTTAAAATTAAAATTTAAACATTATTGTATTTTTTTTTTTTTGCACTTGCATTAGTTGCATTTATACCAATGTTAATAATTAAAAACAGCGCTTGACCTTTGAACACTTTTTATCAGTTGTATCCGAGTTGATTTATTCATTTTATCAGTTGTATCCGAGTTGATTTATTCATTTTATCAGTTGTATCCGAGTTGATTTATTCATTTTATCAGTTGTATCCGAGTTGATTTATTCATTTTATCAGTTGTATCCGAGTTGATTTATTCATTTTATCAGTTGTATCCGAGTTCATTTATTCATTTTATCAGTTGTATCCGAGTTCATTTATTCATTTTATCAGTTATAACCTAGTTGATTTATTCATTTTATCAGTTATAACCTAGTTGATTTATTCATTTTATCAGTTATAACCGAGTTGATTTATTCATTTTATCAGTTATAACCTAGTTGATTTATTCATTTTATCAGTTATAACCTAGTTGATTTATTCATTTTATCAGTTATAACCGAGTTGATTTATTCGTTTTTTCAGTTATAACCTAGTTGATTTATTCATTTTATCAGTTATAACAGAGTTGATTTATTCATTTTATCAGTTATAACCGAGTTGATTTATTCATTTTATCAGTTATAACAGAGTTGATTTATTCATTTTATCAGTTATAACCGAGTTGATTTATTCGTTTTTTCAGTTATAACCTAGTTGATTTATTCATTTTATCAGTTATAACCTAGTTGATTTATTCATTTTATCAGTTATAACCTAGTTGATTTATTCATTTTATCAGTTATAACAGAGTTGATTTATTCATTTTATCAGTTATAACCTAGTTGATTTATTCATTTTATCAGTTATAACCTAGTTGATTTATTCATTTTATCAGTTATAACCTAGTTGATTTATTCATTTTATCAGTTATAACCTAGTTGATTTATTCATTTTATCAGTTATAACCTAGTTGATTTATTCATTTTATCAGTTATAACAGAGTTGATTTATTCATTTTATCAGTTATAACCGAGTTGATTTATTCATTTTATCAGTTATAACCGAGTTGATTTATTCGTTTTTTCAGTTATAACCGAGTTGATTTATTCATTTTATCAGTTATAACCTAGTTGATTTATTCATTTTATCAGTTATAACAGAGTTGATTTATTCATTTTATCAGTTATAACCTAGTTGATTTATTCATTTTATCAGTTATAACCTAGTTGATTTATTCATTTTATCAGTTATAACCTAGTTGATTTATTCATTTTATCAGTTATAACCGAGTTGATTTATTCATTTTATCAGTTATAACCGAGTTGATTTATTCATTTTATCAGTTATAACCGAGTTGATTTATTCATTTTATCAGTTATAACCGAGTTGATTTATTCATTCATTTTCTTCTTGACCCAATTTGTATTTCACAGACTAAACTATTATCTTGGGGCTTTTAAACAACTTGGACAAAATTTAATTATTGTTAATGCTTACAAAGAGTGAGTAGATTATTGCTATTGTTGAGTATGTCACCATCAGGAACACACAGTGGCGGTTCGTTATGCTATGGGTGTGTGTAGTACTCTTACCATTCTCGACAACTTTATGCTCTATTGAAATGTTGGATGAAATGGAATTTAAAAAATGACAAGAAAGCAATAAATTTGGTCAATAATTGAAATTCTAAAACATTCATCGTGGCCCAAACATTCTTTAGTCTGATGCGATGAAATAATTCAGCTACATCATTTTCAGTTTGAAGATGAACAAGAGGAATTTGAACATTTACAATATGAATTTTTGAGGAGTGAGTAACCCAGACTCTGCGACTTACTACAATGCCAAGAAGAAGACAACCAAAAACGGTAGGGCACGACGGGCTCTGGCAATTGTTTGATTAGTTAACTCTTACTCTTAGGAAACAAAATAAAACTTTTACTCTAAGACTTTACTCTACACCCTCTACAGGCAGCCTTCAACTTATGGCCTGAAATTATTTATTTATGAAACTTAAACTTATTCAATGTGTTTTTCGCAAATCTGCACTGTTAACTTATGAAAAAATATATATTTGGAAGCTTTTTTTTATACAAATTAAAATTTGATTTAAAAAAACAACCCAGAAAGGGGGGATCACCCCGATTTTGAATTATATACTTGGGACTATCTTGTTGAATAGCTCGAGTTTCCCCTGAATAAAAAAAAAAAATAAAAATATGAGAAAGTCTAACATCTTTAACTATGAATTCTCCAAGTACACAAACATTAATTAATATATCCAAGTGGATGGAATTTTTACAACTCTTGTTGCAACAACTTGCTTAGAGAACATCCCACAAGAGGAGAATAAAGCTTCAAGTAGGATGCAACAGGGTAGTAACTCTTAAGACTAGAATACTGACACATTTAGACACAGTTAACATTTTCCTGTCAACAGTACAATGCAAATATTTTTTCATCTGTGATTCAATCAATGGGAGAACCACCACACCACACAGTCTGCAACTGTTAATTAACGACCCAATTTCATTTTCATTTCCAGAAAATATTTGAAATTTCCATGGGTCAGCAGCCGACCCGTTACTCACGCCACCCAGGGACGCCCATCCATGAGCATCCGCAACAAGCAATTCCCAACATGTTACAAGTTCATTACTAAAATAAATCATCTCCAATGTTTCACTCCGTGATGGTTCTTTCTATCGAACTTTGTTATAATTACATGAGAGGAATGAATTTTGTTGGTGCCCAGTATAACTTCTTCAAGTATTACTGAAACCCTTTTTGGTAGATGCTATATAAAGATGATATTTTTGAGTGAGATGGTCGATTTAAGCAGATTTAATAAAACTAGCTCTAAATCAAGTTAGAAATTTCTCATGTGTAAATTTCTCAGAAGTCAATGAACGGGTTTATTTATAATAATCTATATGTTGTTGCCACAATGCCAAATATAAACTATGAAATGAAGACTTGAAATCATCCTTTGTCATGTAGCCAACCCCAGGATTGATTCAAGCACACATTTTAAAAGACAATTACTTAGACAATGTATTAAAGTAAGCACCAAAAAAAAAATTGTACCATTTCAGACAACTTAGTCTATTTTTATTCTTCAAATAACAAATCTATTATCATGTCTGCTTTTATTTTATTCTTCCAATAAGATTATATTTATATTTAAATAGTATTTATGAACACTGCTTGAATCTGAATGTCCACAAAGTATTCCACAAAACATAAGCTTGAGTATCTCAATTAAAGCGGAACCATTTTAACCAACAATTTTTTTCCCAATCATTCTTCATTTAAGAGATGGACAAGAGAAAGTAAGCCAAAAAAAACACCTTAAGTTTAATTTCTAGTTCCCAATGGGAGAAAGAGTTTCATGGAAATTATTTTTATTAATTGTGTGAAAGGAAAGTCTGTAACTGGAGCAGATATGGTCCATGATACTTTATCTACCTTTTACTCCTTGTCCAAAATTTGTTTTGATAATCCCTTTAAAAATTTTGCCTTGATGTAATCTATAAGATTAAAAGGATGTGAAAGATGAGCTAGAATCAATGAAAAAAAAACTATTTCAATTGGACATACACTAGAAATAGGTAAAACTACATTAAAAAAAGAATAAATTACATTTTTACAAGCTATAAAATTGAGTATCGGTATCGAAATGATCCCCAAGGAAGAGAGTTTGTGTTATTTTCATGATAGATAAAAGGAATTCCGTCCAGTTTTGTATAAATGTAAATTAACGTTTGAGTTGGTTTTTTAAACGCCTTCAGGAATATTCTGTTGTTTCTAATTCTTTGGTTCAACTAGTAAAACACTTACCATCCATCTCTCAGATTCTATTTTATTGTTAGTTCCAATGTGTCTATTTTTTAATTTGTACATTTCTGTTGACCTACAAAACATGAAAGTTATTTATATGATCTGCTTCTAATGTGGCAACTATTGGTTTTATCTGAAGAGATTTAGTAAGTGCCAAATATGATAAGTTCTTGGAATTTCAAAAGCTTCATTAAACATGAAACTTCACTTTGTGAAATAAAGAGTGATTTCAAAATATACATTAATTTTGAATACATGTCTATTTTTATAATAATTAAAATATGATTTAAATTTCACTGAAAACAATATACACTATCATGAAAACTTATAACCATACTCTTTGAGCACACACACACACACACACTCACACTCATTGAACTGTTATTGTTTGTGCTATCTTGCAGAGCTTTGTTCCTCCAATGGAAGCTTTGATATCACTTTAACTGCTATAGATTTAAAAACTTCACTCTGAAATGTTAAAAAGAAGGAAAATATTTATAAAGGATAAGCTACTAAGAGTTTGTCAATTAATCTATAAAGTAATCCCTAGGTTTAAAGACGAACACATAAATAAATTACAAGTGTTGACTTGCCACCAGCTAAAATAAACTAATATATGATGGTCTTAACAGATCATATTTTAGGATAATAGCTGCGTTAAAAATGGGTTCACCATTTAAAAACTACTTACAACAGGGCTGTTGGGTTCTGCTAACACCACTGGGTGTCCAGAGTCAGAAAAGTGACAGATACTTTTGCTTAGTGGCACAGAACCTGGAAAAGCATTCAACGTTATAGAATTTTAAAGTGAACCGGTAAAGCTCCAGGTAATATCATCAATGATATAGAATTATACAACAGACTGGTATAAAACTTGGTTATACATTCAATGATATAGAATTATAAAATGAAGCGGTACAGCACCTGGTAATTCATCAATGATATAGAATTATAAAACAGTGGTTAAATGCCACAAGTCTAGTTCAATTTCTTTTTCAGAATTGACCTTTATTTAAACTGTTGTGTTCATCCACTCATGGCAATGAGTGTCTACTTATTTGAGTTAAGTCTTTCACTTCATCCCACGAGACAGTATATCTGATAGCAATAGCCACTAATACAACAAACACTAACCGGTTTGTTACAAGATATGAGTTTATTTACCAACAATTCCTTAACTATTGATGTAATATAATTTCAGACTAATAATCAAATCGTTCCAGCCAAACACTAAGCAACACACAAGTCCAAACAGTCAATATTGTATAACGACCATCTATCCACCATAACAATAAAAACCAACGCGCGTCATTTCCCCTTACCCAAATACGTCACAAGACTCTCACACAACAGTTACACGTGAAATCTCTAAACTAAACATCTTTTCCTTACCAAACATGACAACAGTGATCTACACTTAACAACAGTGATTCTCATACCCTTGACAATTAATATTTCATTGAATGATTCATATTTTTTAGAGAAAATTACCTAGAATTTCTGTCCCCATCTGTTGAGCAATATGTTTACCACCATCCTCACCAAAAATGTGTTCTTGATGGTTGCAGTTGGGACATACAAACACACTCATGTTTTCTACTATTCCCAGACATTTGATATGGACCTGTCTGAACATGTCCATAGCCCGCCTTGCATCCAGCAGGGCCAGATCTTGAGGTGTGGTTACAATGATAGAACCTGAACAGTTCATAGACCGGGTAATGCTTAATTGGTAAAAGTGTGGACAAGAAAAAGTGGAAATTCCTTCTCAGTCGGCGATTAAAAAAATTAAAAAATTCTAATATCCTTGATAAATTTAGAGTTTATAGAAGTAAGTTAATAAAACAAAATCAGCAGTTTAAATTATTCAGTTTGCTACTAGAAATCCTGTATGTGGAGAAAGTAATGCTGGCTTCTGTTGTAGACATACCTGAGACAGGGATATTCTGTGCAATAGAAAGCTGTACATCACCTGTGCCAGGCGGCATATCTACAACAAGGTAATCTAATGGACCCCACACCACCTAGAAAATTTTAATTAAAAAGTTGTATAAATGTCAAAAACCTAGAATCCTATCTTAAAAATCATAACTTCTTAAATATGCCATAGACATATATGTATATGAAAGATACATTTTGTGTTTTTCAATCATACGACACAATACAAGGTCCTATGTACTTATTTTGTAAAATACCCTTAGCTAAATAAACTTTTACAAAATAACAATAATAAAGTATTTATTAAACAGAAGTGTAAAGACAAAAAAAAGCTCAGCTGGGTTCAATTTTTCAAGGGTTAAAACTGGACTTTTATTACTCTTGCACGCAAGAAAGAAGTCGTTTCCCTATTGTGCTGTTGTTATTAATTGGCCATAACATCAGGAAAATAAAACCGGAAAAAAAGTCCAGTTTACCTCTCTCAGTAGTTTTTGAATTGCTGACATCACCATGAGACCACGCCACACAATGGCTGCTTTATCATCCACTAGAAACCCCATTGACATACTGTGTACAGAACAGCAACATTATATAAGTAGTTTTCAATGCACAATTTAAATCTAACTGCGATCTAACAAAGTTTACATTTATAAATTATAAATATATATATATCTGTTTTAAATAAGGCATGTTATAAGTGATTATTATCACTCCACATCAAGATTACATTTCAAAAGTTTCATTAATTTGTTAATTTCTTTGAGCCCATCTCAACCATTTTTACAAAACTGCAAGTCACTCCTCTCTGCCCTCTCAGTGATTAACATTATTTGTGAATAAGCTTTATGAAGCTGTAGGACCACAAAATTGTATTTGTGAATCATTTATCCAGTGCTTCCATTTTCTGTTTGATTGGGTTTTCAACCAATTAAGTTTGACTCTACTCACCATTTAACTCCATAGTTGACCAGGGGCAGCATCAAATTCTCTGCGTTATGAAATACATGTGGAGAAGACAAGTAGATAAAGGGATATTATTTGCACTCATTTTTAAGACAACAAAACATGCTATCTCCAATAAATATGTTTAATGGGATTATGATGCTGACATTACAAACCATTAATTAGGTCATTAAATTTTTTAAAAACAGAACAATATTTTAATTTGATTTGAACATATTTGCCTAAACAAAATGTCCATTCAGGAACACTTTCCTTACTGGGGTCTTAATCAACAGGCTTTTGAAGAGTAAACTTGGTTTAAAAAAAAAAAAGTTGAAAAAAAAAGATAATTTATTTCTATTTACTTTTATGTATGGTACTTTTTTCAGTAAAATCATAGGCACACAAAGATTGTAATTTCCAAAACAATAACTTAACCATATTGCATACAAAAATGAACTTTTTACATATTTCATGTGGTGTTTCAAAATGTTTGAACGACAAAGAGCAGGGCAGTGTCAGACAGATTAAGAGCAGGGCATAGTCTCAGATGGATTGTCAGTAGGGAAGAAAGTTAGATTAAAAGTAGGGCATAGCTTAAGACAGATTATGAGAAGAGCGAGATTTCGAATGGATTATGAGCAGGGTAGGATGCCAGATAATGAGTAGAGCAGGATGTCATACAAATAATGAGTAGAGCAGGATGTCAGACAAATAATGAGTAGCGCAGGATGTCAGACAAATAATGAGTAGGGAAGGATGTCAGATAGATATTGAGTGGGGCAGGATTTCAGACAGATAATGAGTAGGGAAGAATGTCAGATAGATATTGAGTGGGGCAGGATGTTAGACAAATAATGAGTAGGGTAGGATCTTAGAGGGACTGATAGACAACCTTACGGTGGTTTAGCTCAGGCGGACCAGACAAGTTCATCAACATGGGGATGGAGGGTCCATAAACATCTGCATCTAGGAGACCCACTTTTAAATTCTAAGTGTAAAATAGACTTTATTACCTATTATGTTTTTTAAAGCTAAAGAAAGTTATTCTTGTAATCAAACTAACACAAAGGTGAGACGTGAATAAGCAATTTATTTTACTTAAGGCACATTCATTATTTTATTTTTTTAAAGAAAGAAAAGATGTTTTTTAAAGACAAGTTGCAAATAGACATCTTTCAGCTTTTGAAAACTCTTCAAACACACTGGGGGCTTTACATTTAAAATATGGCTAAAAAGTAAGAACATTACATGGCATGAATATGAATCAATGTTTGAGATGGTGTAATTGTTCAAAAATAAAAACTCACTTTGCCAACTTGGGTTAATGCCAAGGCCAAGTTCACTGTTAAGAGAAATTGTTTCAAAATAAATCTAACTAGCAATTAGATTGAATAACTAATTACTATTAAGAATATATATGTGAAATTGTTAGTTCTAGAATGAGTCATACTCAAGTGCACTTGTTAATTATATAGACATCTTTATGACTGGTAAGCTGGTATAATTATGTTAAACTTATGAATGTATGCAATAAAAAAGAAATAAAGAGCATTGATGACAATGTTCCACTATTTGACCTTGTTATAATGGGAACATTCTAATAAATTGAGATAAGTCTAATGGTATGTTGGATTAAATTAAATATTTATAGCTTGCCACCTGCTGTTGTTGACTTGCCAACACCTCCTTTCCCCGAAGCCACAACTATGACATGACCAACTCCAGGAATAGGCAACTTTTTAGGTAGCCCCTGTGAGCGTCGCTGTGAATGTTTGTCCACATCTTTTGCACTGCTTGGAGTTGGATATGCTCCCTAAAATAAATTGTGAGGCTGGGTGTTAAATTTTGAAAATTAACAGTATACCCTTATAAATAAGTTGTTGTTTTTTTCTTAAAACTTAATTATAGGTGTATACTAGTGTTAATTTTGTGTAGTATACCCTATAATTAAGTTTTAAGAAGAAAAGTTCTAAATGTACTATGTAAATTAGTGTGGTTAAAAGAATGCAGTCACTGCAATACATGAGATGGACAGTTAAAATTTATAGTTGGTATATTTTAAAAGAGTCCTTAGTCGATGGAAAGTTAAGATGGTGACCAGCGCTTGTCCTATTCACCATCTCATACAAAAAAATATACATTCCCCAGACTATATGCCATTAATAATTCTATTAAAACTATAACATGCATAGACTTATTCAATCAATCAATCATTCATTTTCATGATTTAGTTAGTTAAAATTAGAAGTTTGTTTTTTCTGAATACAAACCCAAGAAAAACCGGATAGTAAAGATTCAAATAAATTAAAAACAAAAATTACTGAAAATGATTATTTCTGATTATAATTGAAGTTGAAGTGTAGATGTTTTTTGTGGAAAATCTTTTTGACAATTGTGATTGTGACTAACAAAAAAAGTATGTAATTTAGCATTGTAGTCTAAGATTTAGATAAAGATTATAATTATAAGATAGCCTAGATTCTGATGTCAGTATTATTAGTATTATGAGTAGGCCTATTCAGTATTGTATCCAGTGTAATAATGTAAATGTAGTGTTCAATTATGATATATTTAAATTTATATTATATTGAATATTGACAAGAAATATTGGTAAATGTGAAGAGATATCCCCACGTTTTTTCTATATTAAATTATTATAATAATAAGGCTATGGGGTTGAAATTGTTGAGTTCATTGATTGACTGAGTAAAAGGGGCTGGGGCCTGCTAACTAACTTAACTGTAACTATCAAATCAGACTACAGAGGGTGACGACTGACAGTGTCCTTATAATTTAAGTGTTTTAATTCCTTGGCTGGTCACTTATATTATATGTTACTTGTTACTAATACTATGTAGGCTTATTTACTATTTAAAGGCATTATTATAGGCCTAAACTAAACCTAATTATTATTATTATAATTTAATTTAATTTCTTTGCTCATATATGTCATTATAATTATGTATAATATAATACTATTCATACTCATACAATTATTAAATTATCATTAATATTTCGGGTAATATGTTCAACTCACTAATGCATCAGCATGAGAAGAAATTTTACGTTTTACAAAACAATAGGGAGTGATCCATTTGAAGCACCTATAATTTGTAAATGTATGATATTTTGCGATGCGGAATCGTATGACTTGGCGATAAAAATTAAAACAATCATAACTGAATGGCATATTTAATTTATAATGGCTGACTGAGGTGAATACGATTAACACGGCAGTATACTTAGGCCCTAAAAGCAAAGGGTACTACTAACATTAAGCTAAACAAGTGGTCGGCAAACTCATTAGAGCCAAAAATCTTCAGCAGGACGATCAAAAAAAAAAAAAAAAATGACGGACAAATTTATTTTCAAGAAACTGTCAAGAACCATATTTTTCGGAGTCAAAACCGATTTCTGACTGACTGGCCGAGCCACACTAAGACTAAGGAGCTGCGATTTTCCGACCAATGACAATGAGATAAACTAATATGTCATGTGTGGTCGTAGTTATTGTGGAAAAATATTAACGCAATGGCTATATAAGCAATATAAGATAACAGAATAGATGCTTACAAAACTTATCTGGAATGTCCATTTTTTGGGTGGATATTTTTTATTAATATGTGTGACCAGTAAAAAAGATGTTAAATAATATATTCGAACTATATCCTTTATTTAGGCATTTTCATCTCAAGTTTAATAATATTAATCTATAGTATTTAGTAGGGGAGAACGAGGTAGGTTGTCTTGTGGGCTGGTTGTCTCATCGCTTATATTACAAGGCCTAAAAAGATGCAAAAATGACGGGCTTAATGCACAACTACAAAGATTCTCAACCTGGATGAGCGTGTAAAAAACAAAGTGGCTTCATGCACCGAGAATGTGTACCTGGTAAAACCACGGACATAGGCCTAAGTACAAACGCGGCAAAAATTAATTATTACCATGAGCCTGGTTTTTAGATATGACAGATATATTTATGTGTGATCACGTTAACTGCCTGACGTTAACATTTTCTGGGGATCAATTCTAAGATGCTGATAGAATTTTACTCCTCATTTTTTTTTTTTTTTTGCCATCGTGATTAAAAAGATATATTACAATTATATGATTATATTCCTTTGTAAAATGCAATAGTATTATTTTTATTTTGTTTTTTTTTGTAGCAATTAAAAATACATTAAAAGATGCTGATAGAATTTTACTCCTCATTTTTTTTTTTTTTTTTTGCCATCGTGATTAAAAAGATATATTACAATTATATGATTATATTCCTTTGTAAAATGCAATAGTATTATTTTTAATTTGTTTTATTTTGTAGCAATTAAAAATACATTAAGTGCCGATTATTAATTGTTTTATCAGCATTTTAAAAAACTCATAATAAGCTCCACCCGCAGCTCCCAAATATATTTTACAATGAAACCTAAGAACAGTACAGAATCTTGGGACCAAAGGGCCCGTCAGTAAATTACGTCACTTTCAAGGGGAGAGGGGGTCTAAGAAAGTTAGAAAGTGTGACAGATTTTGACCCAGGGTGGATAAAGATACAAAAAAATTAATGTGACGTCTCAATCGAATTTTTTAAACGAAGTGGCTATAGGTACCCGAGTACCCATCGTCACCAATGACTATTCGCACCCGGAGTGGCTCCGTACAGATTAAATGGCTTCGGAGCCGGGTGTGATAACAATAATAGTGTGAGAATTATTTTTTTTTAATTTTTAGTTTTAGTTTTTTAGTTTTTAGTTTTTTCTCCTTGTTATTTCATAGATTCATAGTTTTATTCTTTTTAGTTTTTTTTTTTTTTTTTTTTTTTTTTTTTTTTTTTTTTTTGGTTATTTTTTTTTTTTTTTTTTTTTTTTTTTTTATTTTTTTTTTTTTTTTTTGCTTTGTTAATTTTTCTTAGTATGGGTAGATTTTTTTTCTTTCTTATTTTCTTTTTTAGTTTAAGCCATTTTCGTCGAGCATTTAAAAAAAAAAAATATCTAGTAATGAAGATGATTTAGGTACATTTATTGTTTTCATTTGAATTTTAGAAAAGTAATAATATAAATTTAATTATTAAAATTAAATCCTTTAAGATTATTTATGTGTATTGTTTAAGTTAAAAGATTTAATCACACAGTACTTTATGAATTATCTAGGTATTCTAAATAATGAAAATTTCATTGATAATGAATTAAAATTAAACTATTCCTCTAGAGAGCTTGGCTTAGTCAGAACAAAACCACCAATTTTAAACTTTTTCCTTGCCACTGGGAGTCATACATGTGGACACTGACTGTATTTCCTGATATCTCGAATCTCCTTTCAACAACTTTTCTCATTTGACTTGACCTAATTCACAAGGTAGTTGCAATGAACATCTTCAAGTTAAAGGATGCCATTGTATAAAGCATGAGAAAGAGACTTATTTTTGGAGGCCTCGTCTTTTTTTTTTTTTCCATAGCTGTCTACTGGGTCTAACACACTGATAAATAATTTAAAATTTAATATTAAAAAAAAAACCTTAACTGACTTGAGAACATTTTTGTTTGGTTGCTAGTTATTTGAGTTGTGTACTCAAGTAATTCATAAAATAAATTAGGGGTCAGTAAGGAGTAGGCAGCCAATAAACTCATTCAATTAGGTCACATCATTCCTTTGCCATTTGTCTCCTTTTACTTTCTCACATTCCTTGTTGGTACCCGTACAGTTAACTATTGTTTGTATCATTTCTTCATTTAAGTACAGATGCAATTTTTGAGTGGGAGCAAATATAATATGTGATCTGTGAAGGGAGTTTGGTTTCAAGGCAACTAAGTCATGCCACATTGAAAATAAAATACTGATACCCTAAATAAATAGAGCCATTGAAAAAAATATAGTACATACAAACCATACACAAACAGAAAGAGAAAAATCCACAAAATTTTATTTTTTAAAAATTTGTCGTGACTTTTATTGCAAAAAATTAAACAATTTATACCAATTTTGACTTTTACGCAAAATGAATAAAGACAAATTTGTAGTGCATTGTATTGTAACTTATTGTACTGTATTGTAAATGAAACTTGGCATACACATTAAGAATAACATTGACATAAAGTTTAAAGAAGCTTATTACACAGCAGTTATTGGAAGTGTTACAAATAGCATGTATGTGGGGGTCACATAAATATTCGAGAACTCTTCAGGAGTAACAAATGTAAAAATGTTATAAAACTTTTCTAGTTGGATATACCCGGTATATAAAAAAAAATCCTTTTGAATTTTGTAAAGAATATCAATGAAAAGAAGCATGTAATGTTTGAAGGCTGTAGCTAGAATACTTTTCCTCCCAATTCATTTGGCGTTCCTAAAAAATCCAGAAAATGCAAAATTGAGAAAAATGAAAAAAGTATAAAATTGTGTTTTTTTAAATTAGAGGGCTGCATGAACGATATAGGATGCATACACCATGTACATATACCATTCATCAATTAAAAGACAATTAGAAAACTAAGACAGAAAAGATATTTTAAAAAAATTAACACACAAACCTAATAAAAAAAATATATAAATAAAAAAATTCTGAAAAATTTTCCTTTGAGATTTTAGTTTAAAAACCATCCATCATTAAGTAGAGAATGTCAATATAAATAAGCATGCAAAGTTTCAATTATGTAGTTCCAAAACTATTCCTCCTGATTCATCAATTGACGTCAGAAAAAGAATGAAAATGCTATATCGATAAAAGCTGAAAAAGACACTGACTAATGCTTATTAAAAAAATTAAAGGTTACTTGAACAATATTGGATGCATACATCATGAACAGATTCCACTGGTTAATTTAAAAAAAAACAATTTAAGTACATAGATATAATTGATAGAATATAAATGAATGCATTTTCCAAACAACCCACTAGCCTCGAGCTTAATAAAAATAATAAGATCATAAAAACTTCGGAATTTTGTTTATGAAACATGTAATAAAAAATAACCATCAATCATTATGTAGAGAATATAATAGAAAAAAACCTTGCAAATTTTGAAGCATGTGGTAATAATACTTTTCCTCATAATACATTTGACGTCAGAGATAAATGGAAAATCCTAAGTGGAATACTTTAAAAAGAGAAAAAAATTCAATTAAGCAATATTAGATATATAGGAGTCAAATAAAATGAAATTTAAAGCATATCAATATGAAATTATCATAAAAGATAAGAATTTTCTAGATATTTTTACAAATGTTAAACAATATTGTAGAAGATGTTAATGTTTTTTAATAAGAAATCATTAGACTTTATAATTTATAGACTCAGTTTAGGAAACAAAAATCTGCCCAAGAAATATAGAAATATAATAAAAATGGTTATTTATACAATTTTGTAAAATAATTTTCAGCACATTAAAAACATTTACATATTTATAAAAGTAGCTGAAATCTTTCGGAACCAATCATTGCGAATTAGCAGTGAAAATAAATTTACAAGAACAAGTCAAGAAAGACGATTATCTCAGCAAGGCCTTTTCAAACGCAGTTGTTGGGTTCAGCTGTCTATGTTCCGGTATTCACTTTTCTGCGTGTTAACTTGTCCGTTGGTTCACTAGTCCTGTGTTTGGATGTGTTATGGTGAGTTGTGAGTTTACTTGTCCTGCGTTCATTTGCGCGGCCACCGCAACGGACACAAACCATAAAGTTTATGCAGCATTAACGATCAGAAATCTGCTTAAAGTAAACCTATACACGGGTAAGCCGCGGCGACTGCGTTGCTGCCCACAGCCTTACTAAACAGAAACATGGCAAAGCCGTGGAGGCCACGTCGCTCTAGCTATGCCGACGTATTACTTTAGTGCAGAGATCTCCAAACTACGGTCCGCGGGCCGCATGCGGCCCGCGAGGCCCTCTCATGCGGCCCGCGGAGACCTTTTTATCTACGGAAAAACTTACTGAACTTTAAGTGTATCCTGCCAAGATCAGACGACACTTACGTGGACGCAATCTTTTTACCGAATTAAAATGGAGGCGCGCAGTAGTGCGTTATGTTTTCTAACCGATCATTACTTGGCAAAACCTTATTCACTGCTTAGTTTTTCTACTTCCTTTCTAAGTCAATGAGATGATATAACGCCATCTAGTGGCGGAGCTTTACCCACCGTGTTGCAGACATGGGTGAAAACATTGTAACTCAAATAGCGAAAAATGCGAGCAAGTTTCGCCAATTTTTAATTGCAATGGATGAATCGCTTGTGCTCGCT